CCCCCCCCGGTTCCCCGCCTTTTCTCTCTCTAAATTCACTCACTCGCACACACTTCTATCTCTTTATCTCTCTAAAAATTAGGGTTTTTTCTTTCCACCTCCATCAATGGTTGACATTCCAAACCCTACTTAATCCCTCAAAAACATCTCTCCGTACAAATTGTACATATCATTTCATATATAATAATGTGTATTTTATTTATTATCCAGAGTTTGATTTGATTTATTATTATCATTTTATCTTAAGCGCCGACGTAGTTATTGTGAATGACGTCCAATTCTTCCGCTGCCGCGGACGGAGGAGGAGGAGGAGCACCGCCGTCACAGCCGGCGCCGGCGCCTATGCCAAGTGCGAATGCGCCTCCGCCATTTCTGGTGAAGACGTATGACATGGTGGATGACCCGAGTACGGATAAGATCGTGTCGTGGGGCCCAGCAAACAATAGCTTCGTGGTTTGGGACCCACCGGAGTTTGCTAGGGACCTTCTTCCGAAGTACTTCAAGCACAATAACTTCTCCAGCTTCGTTCGCCAATTGAATACTTATGTATGCATTTCTTTCCCTTTGCCTTTTATTGAGTTTCATGAGTCATCTTTATGATGAGTTTCAGTTTGATGCACTAACTGTGTAAAGATAATTTAACCTGCTAGATCAAGTTACTTACATTTGTTGTATATAGGTACTAATTAATGCTTATTAAATGAAATTACCTTCAATTACTTTTGAGTGACCTGATGGTATAAAAAATCTTTGGACCGTCATTGTATATATGCGCTGACGGTGTAAAATTATAGAGCCGTTGGCTCTTTATTGGGTTCCATTTAAGTTCTTTATATTGACGGTGTACATAGATAATATGTACATTATCAGGTCATTTAATAGGTAACTGTAGTTAATTGTATATAATAAGCATTGGTTAGTAACCTAGATTAAATTGTAAACAACCTGCTATAATAGGTATAAATCAGCTTATGGGGGATTAAATCCTTTTTGATATGATGCATAGGTTTAGTTGTTTTGTCTAAATTGAGCCAAATGTATGTGGAAAACGTGTATATCTGATCCCAATTAGTTTGTGACTGAGGCGTACTTGTTGTAGTTCATTTGAGTCATGTTGAGTTGGGCCTTAATATATTGTTATTTCCAGAAATTTAGATTCTTTTCAGCTGAAAATGTTCCAACTTCTTGTGCTATGTGGTCTCTTCTTTCCTGTTGTTTTGCGGATGCTAATTGGAATCATTATGCTCAACCTTGTGATTAAAATCTAATCAACTATCTTGTTGCATTAAAGAATGATGTTCTCGAGGACATGTCATTTGTTTTGCTATGTATATCATGTGCATTGTTTTTGTGACTTATTTCCTCAATTATCAACTTGAGGACATCTTTGAGTGTTGTGCCTTGCAACATATATATATTTTTTAACTATAGCTAGTGCCTAGTGCAATCTAACTTCGTGGATTAATTGAGTTTCAATCTTTTACTATTAAGATCAATATAGGATTTAGTTCCCCTAATATAATATAAAATATTACATTGAAGTTGTGCTTATTGTTGCCCCAGGGTTTGGTCTAGTGTAGAGCGCAATGTGTGATGTGTGGATTAGGCGCAAGTCACGGTGTTGAACAGATAAAGGTTTGGTATTTAAGTGGAGAAAGGTAGAGGGACAGATCCTTTATCCACCGAATTGCGAACCTTGCACCACTAGCCCTGGGGAATTTATCGATCATCCAAAATAGTTGCTCTTATTGTGTCATCAAGTAGATAATCTATCAGGAAGCATGTATATTTCTGGACCACAATAAAACTGATTATGGGACTGTCAATATCTGCATCATGTTTTGACAATGATAACTTATCTTGTTATTGCTGCCTTTCCATATTGAAAAGGGGGTCTGATATAGTAGCTTCAGTTTTTGATGCTCTTTGATGTCTATATATCTTTGTCCCTACTCCCTAGTGCACTTCGAGGCTTGATGATCTAAATTGGACTAAAGTTGAGTGATAAAGTAAGGTTCCTTACCCTGTCTCCAGTTCTTTAGTTCAGTGATAAAGTAAGGTCCTTGACCTTGTTTCCAGTTCTTTCTCCACAGAAAAGGTGGTTATGTTGCTTTTTGTGGATTTAAAGGTTGTAAAAGGTGATTGATTAGCTGTGTAGAGAGGGGGGATGCAGGAGGGGCTGAAGGGGAATGAGTTTGTGTAGCAGATATATGGAGGCCTTTGATCTATAGTAGGAATCCTCTTTGAAGATGCCAAAGCGAGTGAGGAATGTTTGGAGGAAGCAAATAGACAAATTTGGAGGTAAAGATGTTTGGAGGCCTTTCATCTCTAACTATCATGTAAAGATGAGATTTCGCTAGATTGTTAGGTAAATGGTCAAGGTTAAGACTTTTTGCACTTAGCCTTCAACCTTCAACAGGTGCCCTTTCATCCATGGTTCTCTTAGTAATCCTTTGATGCTCTTGCTGAGCATCCATATCTTAGATGCTTGTGTCCTGCCTTGGTGGTCAATAAATTTAATCTCCATGTTTTACTAGGGATGATCCTTCATCACTGGAAGAAAGGAATTCTTACTGGTGAAGAGTGACGCTAGATATTTTGTAATTTATCTGCTCATTCCTGTTATCACGAAAGAGGCTTAGCATATTAGGCATATGATAGGACTTCTTGATGAGAATGTGAAATCTTAACTCTCTCAATCTTTTCTCTGAACTTCCGCTTCTCTTCTCAAATTCTTTTCTTTGACATTTTCCATTTAGTCATAGAAGCCTATCATAAAGCATCCTTACTGATGCTGTCACATGCAGATCTATTGGGGGGAAAGTATTCCGAGGAAAGGAAAATAAAATTTGTGTAAGGTTAATCTTGTGACATTCTCCAACTTTTGTGCTGATTAAAAGATACAAAGAGGTAGAAAAAGTTACAGTCTCTTTAATGTAAGATATCTGTAGGAGAAGTCCCTTTTATATAGTGTAATTCCATTTACGAGAACCCAAAAGGAAAACACTTGATTCTTAATGGAATGAAAAAAGAAGTCTGGGAAGTAGCAAGACTGCCTTTCATTCCAATATGGTGTAATTCTGGAGTTTCAAAAATAAGTTGCTAATATTTTGTAATCAAAGCAAAATAAATGTTTCAAAGATGGCAGACAACATGAATCAAGGAACCGAAATCAGGAAGTGGTTGATACTTGAATATCTGTAGATTCCTCGACTGTTAGTGGAATCAAAATAGAAATTGAGAAGGAAGCAAGATGTGGAGTCAAAATAGAAATTGAGAAGAAGCAAGATGACCTTTTGTCCCATGGGGTACAATGTTGGCTGGTTAAAAGTAACTTGTTTAAAAGTATCTGTAGTTTAACTAAGAGTTAAGATTTTAGGTGGTTATAGGGAGGAAAGAAACTGTGGTATAGTTGGAACATCACCGTAGACGCTAAGGTAAGAAGAACGACAACAATAAAAGGTGTAAATTTATATCTCTATACCTCTGTAATTTCGGCCTCATTAGTACATCAAAAAAAGTGTGAATTTTAGGTTGAATAATTACTCAAGGAGACTTGTCATTCTATTGCTTTGGTGCTAATCATCATGTCCAGAACAGAAAGGTTTTCTCTCTTGCATGCTTGTGTGCATAATGCTTATTCAGATGGGGTGGATGATTTTAATATTTGTTATTCCTTATGTGCCCAAAGACACTCTATTTTTACCCTCCCCTTTTTAAGTTATTTAATTCTTGAATATGTACTATGTTTAAGTTTATCTTATGCAAAAATGAAAGAAAATATTTGTTTCAAGTTCAGATGTTTTATGAAGGAAAAGTATAAAATTATTTGTTGATTGATTTTTCTTTAGACTTTGGATACTTGATCGACCCACTAACATCTATTATGTCAATATTGATCACTACTGTTGGAATTATGGTTCTTATTTATAGTGATAATTATATGGCTCATGATCAAGGTTATTTGAGATTCTAACTTAGTTTGGGTAAATTATTTGTACAATTGTACTTCTAGAACTTCATTGAAGATAAAACAAAGAAAGAAGCTAGTGCACTTATATTTGTAAAGAAAATATATTTAGAGAAGGATTATTTTGAAAAGACACCATTTTAGTGGCGGATATAAAATTTATTTTCTATTCTTTTTACTTTCTTTTGCTTTCCTTTTCCTTTTCTCTTTCTTCCTCTCATTCTTTTCCTTTAGTCATCTTTTTTCGACTTTTTACCGTGATTTGTTTTACCAATAGCATCTATTATTCCCCTTTCTTTGTATTCCAAAGAACCCCTCACATCTTCTATCATGCGTTTTTGTGATCTATAAAATCTTTTGCCATGCTTAAAACTTTTTTTCAATCTTCTTTAGAAAGCTCTCCCATCTCTCATCACATCTCTATTTTTGGTCTTACAAGACTTCTTGTGTGCAATCCTATCACCGTTTTGTCCTCCCAAAGACATTTTTCCCTCTCTAAGAAATCTTCCTTTTATTATCACCTCTGCTCAAGAAATCTTCCTTTCACTATCGCATCTCTATCACCTTTTTGTTACTTTTTTCCCAGATACTACTTTTTCCTCTTCTCAAGAATTCTTTCGGTCACATATCTATCACATTATATCAAAAGAAGAAGTGGATAAGGAAATAGCTTCATATTAAGACTTGGTCATTGGTAATTTCCTTAACAGATGTTCTTCAATCAATTAAGAACAACCATCAAAGAAGAATAGCTTCTACCACAACTCTCAATCATTCCAAACAGTGGAAAAATGATTACTAAGAAGACAAAAATGTGCCCAAAAGGTGATAAGATATTAAGGTTAAATGACCTCTGAGTGATAAGCTCTTTTGGTGTGTTTCTATGCGAGTTGTGGTGGTTTTCATTACGAGAAGCTCTTCCTCTTTGGTCTTTCTTGGCTAATTGATAGAAGAGTAAAGATTGTTTAAAGTTATTTCATTTCCTCTTCTTCTTGTGATATCAAAGTGATAGAGATATGATGGTGAAATGAAATGTTCTTGAGAATAAAAAGAGTCTTGGGGGAGAGAGAGGTGACAAAAAGGTGATAGAGATGTGATGATGAAAAGAAAAATTATTGAGAAGAGGAAAAAGAAGTTTTAGGAGGACAAAAATGTGATTGGAGATGGGAGGAGTTCTTGAGAAGAGTGAAAAAGAAGTCTTGAAAAGACAATAAGACGATAGAGACGTGATGGGATGAGTTTTTGAGAAGAGCAAAAGAAGTCTTGGAAGGACAAAAAGGTGATAAAGATGTGATTGAAAGATATGAGAGCTTCTTGGGAAGACAAAGAAAGAGGGGAAAGTTATGGGTTATTGGTCGAAACAGGAATCCACGGTGAAGAGACGAAAAATGTGACAAGAGGAAGAGAAGGAAATGAAGAAAAAAAAGGGAATGAAAAAGAAAGAAAAAACGAAAAATAAATTTATATTTGCCACTAAAGTGATGTGTCTCGAAATAATCCCTTTTAAATATATTTTCTTAACAAATACATATGCATTAGTTTCTTCCTGTGTTTTATTTTCGATACAATTTTAAAGGAAGTACTAAAGAAATGTACCCAAACTAAGTAAGAAATACTTTTCGGCAAATATTATTTTTCCTTCACAAAAAGATCTAATCTTATCCAACTTAGGGAAGATATTCTCTCACTTTTTCGCATAAGATAAAGTGAAATAAAATAAAATTTAAAAATCAGATAACTTGAAAAACATAGGGCAATAATTTGGTGTACATGCCATTCTTGTCATGTAGACTTTTCTTTCAAGACCAGATCTGTTTAGCCTTGCTTGATCTTAGTTGATAGAATAACATTTTCTGAATATTTAGTATTATGAAGATTGAGCAAGATGCTTGTCTTTTGAAGTGCTACCGAGGGAGACATCTGTTGTATTCCTTTAAGGTTTCTGTTTTCTTGTGGAAGGTCGTGAAATTGGTTGCCTTAAAATCAGATTAGCTTGATGCATTTTAATGATGGACCCAAGTAACATTGATTGCTCAAAATGGGGACATGGAATTTGCAATGCATCTATTCTTTGTGGTCTTGAATCAATATCTTTCAAACAAAAGAACATTTAGCTTGTTTTCGAATTAATGTTTTCTATTTCCTGACACCATAACCTGTTCGGCGTTTTTTAATTGTAGTGCTATAGCGAACAGGCAAATTGGTAAATACACACAATCGTATATAGGTAGATTATCATATGCAAGTATTTTACTTTTGCAACGTTCACTTATGTTATTTATGTGTATGTCAAAATATGTGCACATAGTATGAAGACAGAGAGCTCGTGTATATTTATCTGTGTTATTAATGAATGATATTAGGCCACTCAAAAACGAAGTCATATTATCCTCCAATGTAGAGTTTAGAACTCTTTCAACCACTGCGTCATATTTTTAACACTGATCTTGAGGCTTACTGAAGGAGTAGACAAATTCCTCTCCAAAATACAGAGCACAGTAAGACCTGTTAGAAATAGAGAGCACAACCTTTTTACGGGGCTGACTCTACTGTCTAGTACTGAATGCGGTTGCAGGGATGGTTTCCCTTTCGCTGTCATTGAGTTTGATTTACTATTGAGATCCCATCTTTCATGTTGACAAGCTCATCGCACCAAATGATATTGTTATGCTAGTTTTCCACTTAAAAGGAAACGAAGTTGTGGGTGGAGATTTGAATTGTTTATTGATATTTTTCTGTTTGCCAAGGAAACCTGACAAGTGATCTTGATGACAAACAAAGCTATTTGGTAAACTTCTTTGTTGATTAATTACCTTTAATTCAAAAAACTGCTGCAATGATCTTTGTGCTGCTTATCAAACTCCTACTCATGCTTTTGTATTTTTCTCTTTTGGTCTTTTTTTTGACAAAACAGGGTTTTAGAAAGGTTGATCCAGACCGCTGGGAATTTGCTAACGAGGGATTCTTAAGAGGTCAGAAACACCTGCTTAGAAGTATAAGTCGGCGTAAACCTGCTCATGGACATGCTCAACAACAGCAGCAGCCACATGGACAGAGTGCATCTGTTGGGGCTTGTGTTGAGGTTGGGAAATTTGGACTTGAAGAAGAGGTTGAGAGGCTGAAAAGGGACAAGAACGTGCTTATGCAAGAGCTGGTTAAGCTCAGACAACAGCAGCAAACTACTGACAATCAGTTGCAAGGGATGGTGCAGCGCCTTCAGGGTATGGAACAACGACAACAACAGATGATGTCATTTCTGGCAAAAGCTGTTAACAGCCCTGGATTCTTGGCACAGTTTGTACAGCAGCAAAATGAGAGTAATAGGCGCATAGCTGAAGGCAGCAAGAAACGGAGGATTAAGCAAGATATTGAATCACAGGATCATTCGGTTACCCCTGCGGATGGACAGATTGTGAAGTACCAACCTGTGATGAATGAGTCAGCAAAGGCAATGCTTAGGGAGCTTTCAAAACTGGACTCTTCTCCTAGATTAGAGAACTTCAGCAACAGTCCTGAAAGTTTCCTGATTGGTGATGGTTCACCCCAATCTAATGCATCTTCTACTCGTGTTTCAGGAGTCACTCTTCAGGAAGTCCCACCAACTTCTGGCCAGCCTTTGCTGAGTACAGCTTCAGCAATTGCCGGTCAAAGTTCATCTTCTGAAATTACCAATAACCAGTTGTCAGAGATAAGCTCATTGGTAGGAGCTCACGATTTGCCTCCTGTTTCGCTTTCTGCGTCAGATATGATTATGCCTGAGTTATCACAGTTACAAGAAATTTTGCCCGGAAACAATATGGATATTATCAGATCTGAGATGGAGAATGATTCTTTCATGGATTCTTCAGTTGGAGTAGACGAAAAAATGCCATTAGATATCGGTAGTTTCTCTCCTGATCCTCAAATTGAATGGCAGACTGGTTTGCTGGACGATATAGGAGAGCTTCCTAGTGTCGGTGACCCCTTCTGGGAAAAGTTTCTTCAAAGCCCTTCCCCTGGCGAGACAGAGGAGATGGACCTTGCTGCAATGGATGATATTTCCAATGAAACCAAGCCACAAGAAAATGGATGGGATAAAACTCAGCACATGGACCATCTTACTGAACAAATGGGGCTACTAACATCAAACAATCAAAAAGTATGATCTGGTTATCAAAGTAAATGTACATGTGTTATGTTAGAAAATTCAGGTAGGGTTTTGTTACTTTGTATCGTAAGTCACTTGACCTTTGCCCATAAGAGAGTTGCTAATATGTGTTATTACTTTTATCCCTCGGCTCTTTGCACATAGGGGACTTTGTTAGCTTCTAGTTTACCCTGTGTTCGGTCATCTTGATTTCTCTCTTCTTCTTGACATAAAGCTGAATGGATCTAAGTTTATGTTGAATCGACGATTCTTTTGCCCCTTCCCAGTTCCCCCTTTCTTTTTACTCATGCACACAAAGATGTAAATCTATGCGTGTTTTTCCAGTTGTTGATGTGATATAAGCTGGCATCCCATCAGAATGTAATGAATCAATAGGCTTTTTTGCTGTCTTTTTATGCTGTCAATATTCCAATTGATGCGCCTTTTACCCTCTCTTCTTTGTGCTACACTAGTAAACTGTACTTCAGTATAAACTGTACTATATCGTTTGCTACATCGACTTCATTGTTCTTTTGTTTTATTTTTATTCTACTTCGTTGCTTATATACAGTATTTTTCACTTTCAACCAAGAGGTTGTGAGTTCGAGTCACCCTAAGAGCAAGGTGGAGAGTTCTTGGAGGGAGGGGTCCGAGGTTACTCCCCAAACCTCACTAGTGGGCTTATAGTATATTGTACCGGGAATGACAGGCCCTAAATACATGATAGGTGCTTAAATCGGGCCACCCACTGCCTGTACTTAATTCCTCAC